GTTGACTCTTATTGCCTTGACGGCCTGGCTGGGAGGCCCTTGGAGGTGCCGCCCAGCTCCAGGCGGTCCAGCCTGCAGCCAAGGCCTCTAAAACCCAAGGTTCTAAAGGACTTGCTTAAGATTTCCGGGGCCAATATAACCTACAGAGGTCTACAAATTGCATTTTTTTCCCTCAGAGGGACCAAGCAAAAGGTCCCCCAGTCCTCCCCTGATTAGCCTCCCTTTTGTGCCTCAGATTTGCAAGTCCCCGTCGGCTGGTAGGTGACAGTTGGGGTGGCCTTCCACCGCTTACTGGTCTTGGGCTGTTTCCTCAATGGTGAAGTGGATCTTAGACCAGAAAGACCTCAGGTGTCCTGGGTCCTGGGTCTCTGTGTGGTTTGACAGTCACCCTTGCCCCGTGGACACCTTTGGGTCACTTTGCTTAGTCCATGTTTTGGGGTACTTACTCTATGCAAGGCACCATGGGGTCTTGGGCATCAGCTCATTCAAGGCATTCAAGGATGATGCCTCTGATGGCCCCAGCAGCCTCTGGTGGAGGAAATTTGCATCCGCTTAGTGAGAATTCCTGCCAGACTCCTGAAAGGTGCATGGTGTAGTCTTCAGCTTGTCACGTGTGAGGGTTTGAAGCTCAGAGCAGTGACCCTTGTTTTAAGCACTTTACACCATAAACTCTTTACACTATACCCTAGACATGTGGGAATTATTTTAAAGGCACATGGACAATGCATTTTGGAGTTCACCCATTTATGGTGATCCTTCAGAGCCCTGGATGACATTCCGGTGTCAAAAGCAGATTTGCATTTTCACTACCAATTTTGAGAAGATTGACGTGGAAACCCAAAGCTGTAACAGTTACAAGGAAGAAATGAATTTTTTTTGGACAAAGAAATAGAAGACTTTTAAAAAAACAACAACAATAGACCCCAGGAGTCTCCATCGCCTGTCAAGTGACGGCTGTGGCTAGGAGGGAATGGGCGGAGTGATTAAGCACTTGCTTTCCTCGGATGTCCCCTGTCTGCCGGAGCGAGCATGATTTAGGTGACTGAGCATCTGTGTGGCAGCTGCCGGCACTGTGAATCGATGCCAGAGAAGACAGAATAGGTGGCACACTGTTTCTGATTTCATGATTGTACCTGGAGCCAGAAAAAATAGAGGTCTGTCTTCTTCTGAAGTGGGAAGATGTTATCTCTTTTTTTCCTTGGGCTTCACAAATGTGTGCACACCAAGTGTCCTCGAGATATTTGTAAGCATGGCTGGCAGCTTAGTGCATAAACTGATTTGTTTGCGCTCCTGTAAAAAAACAAATCAAACTAGGTGAACCTTGTCTGAATGGGAGATCAGCATTTCATTGTATTTTCTGAATTTCTAAGGTAGGTTCCCGATAATTTTGAACTGTCAAATAAGCATTTAAAGCGGGAGTCAGCAAACCGTGGTTTCTTTAAGTAAAGTTGTATTGGAACACAGCCACACCCATTCATTTACATATATACATATGCGTTTTAAAGAGACAGAATCTTACTCTGTCCCTCAGACTGGAGTGCAGTGGTACAATTTTGACTCACTGCAGCTTCGAACACCTGGACTCAAGCAATCCCCGGTCTCATCCTCCCAAGAAGTGAGAACCATAGGTGTGCACCACCATGTCCATCTAATTATTGCTCATATTTTTTTTTGTGTGGCGACAAAGTCTCACTGTGTTTCCCAGGCTGATCTTGAACTTCTGACCTTAAGCAATCCTCCTGCCTTGGCCTCCCAAATTGCTGGGGTTACAGGAGTGAGCCATATCACCCAAACACATATTATTATCTCTGACAGGCCGCTTTCCAGCTACCATAGCAGAGTTGAAGAGTTGCCATAGAGTCCTTTGGCCTGCAATCCTAATATATTTACTATTTGGCCCTTTATGGACAAAACTTGCCAGCCCCTGATTTAAAACGTTGATGGTAGCTTCCTGTTGGATACCATTTTGCAAGGTGCCGGAAGGGCTGGTCGGGCACTAGGGTCTCTCCTCACCTCAGACAGCATGTCTTGGTCCTCCAGTGTCAAAGCCACTGGGAGAGGTGAAACTGTCTTTGAAAAACATCCGAAGCCGGGCTTGGTGGCTCAGCCTGTAATCCCGCACCTTTGGGAGGCTGAAGTGAGTGGATTGCCTGAGCCCGCGGGTTCGAGACCCGCCTGGGCAGCAAGACCTCATGTCTACAATAAATCAAAAAATCAGCTGGGTGTGGTAGCGCATGCCTGTAATTCCGGCTACACGGAAGGCTGAGGCGGAAGGATCGCCGAATCCCAGCAGGCGAGGCTGCGGTGGCCGGGAGCGGCCACTGCACTCCAGTCTGGGCGACAGAGTGAGACTCCAACTCAAGAAAAGAAAAACATCTGAAAAGAATGGAGAGTTTTCTCCTCTGGAGGAGTCCTTTTACTTCTTTTGTTAAGACAGAGGCCAGCTCCACTGATGGCTTCAAGTCCTTCTAACTTTAGCTTTCTTTGATTATGTGGCAGTGATCTTTGAGTGTCTGAAGGGCTGTCATGTGGATTAGGCACTAGATTGTATGATTGTGGGGATCTGAATTAGGGTTCGAGTTACCGCGAGACCGTATTTCAGCTCAGGAAAGAAGAGCACTTGCCAGGAACTGACCATAGCTAGAATATGCTGTGTGGGTAATGAGCTGCCTGTCATTAGAGATGTTCAAATAGAGGCTGGACGTTAAAGAGATGATTGTGGCAGACAACCTCTGGGGCCCCATTCCAACCTTGAGCTTCCAATGGCTTCTCTGGTGAGAGTTCTTTGTTTGCAAGCTCAGATTTTGACCACAGTTTGATTTGTTGAGGGTCTGTAGAGGCCGCTCGGACGATTTTCTGAAAATAAAATGCTGGCCAAGCCAAAGCAGTGTAACGTGGGCGAGGCTTTTCTGGTGGGTAAAGACGATAAGCGGCAATGTTGGCCCAGAGCTCGTCCCCTTGGCGCTGCAGGGATGCAGTGGCCGTGGAAGGGTCCTGCTTCTGGCCAGCCTTGCAGCCTCGGGGTGACTGTCTCTCTTAAGTCCCCACTGCCATCTCTGCTTTCTGTCTAGTATCTTGGGAAGGGCAAGGACCCGGGTGGGGGCATATCATGGATGCAGCAGTCAAAACAGGGTTTCTGTATTGCAGTTTGCTGGAGAGTTTAGGTCAGGATCAGGCAGTGACAGGCAGGTCTGAGGAGGACATACCATCTCTGGACAACTCTGCTGTCCTAGTATAAGTAGCCAGAGACAGTGCAGAAACAGGCAAGGTGGCTTTGTTCCAGTGAAAATTTATTTTTTAATTTTTTTTAATTTTCTGAGCCGGGGGTCTCACTGTGTTGCCCATGTTGAAGCGCAGTGGCACCATCATGGTTCACCACAGTCTTGTCCTCCTGGACTCAGGTGATCCTTCCGCCTCAGCCTCCTGAGTAGCTGAATTACAGGCATGTACCACCCCGCCCAGCTCATTTTTTGATTATTATTATTTTTTTGTTGTCGTTGTGGAAACGAGGTCTTGCTATGTTGCCTAGGCTGGTCTTGAACTCCTGGGCTCAAGCAATCCTCTCACCCAAGCCTCTAAAAGTGCTGGGATTATAGGCGTGAGCCACCGTGCCCAACCCAGTGAAACTTTATTCACAAAAAAAAGTAGTGGTTCTGTTTGGCCCCTGGGCTGTAGCTCACTGGTCCCTGATGGAGTTCCTGAAAGTTAGAACTGGCTGGAAAATGCCAACTCCAGTTCTCTCCGTTTTTGGGTGAAAGGTAAAATGACATGCGCAAAGTCACACAGTGAGCCAGGATTGTAAGCCAAAATCTACTTTTAACTGAGTGCCTGTTTTGTGACACTGTGCTGTCTCAGCTGTGTAGTCACGTTGTAGCATTTTTTAAAAAATGTATTTATTACTTATTTTTTAAAATATAGGTTCTTATTCTGTTGTCCAGGATAGTATAATCATGGCTCACTGCGGTCTCCAACTCCTGGGCTCAAGGGATCCTCCCACTTCAACCTCCCAAGTAGCTGGCACCGTAGGTTTGCAACATCACAACCAGCTAATTTTCACAATTTTTTTTTAATAGCTATAGGATCTCACTATGTTACCCAGGCTGGTCCTGAACTCCCGGCCTCAGGTGATCCTCCTGCCTTGGCCTCCCGAAATTCTGGAATTCCAGACTTGAGCCACTGTGCCTGGCCTGGCATTTGGTTTCTAAGAGCGGACCACCAGGGGGTGAAAAATACCTGCTCCAGGTGGTCTCTGACCTGCAACAGTGGCATTTTAAGGGAGGCGGCCCTTTAACCCTGCGACCCAGCCTGCCTTTTTCCCAGGTGGGCTGCGTTCACAGTGCGCGGAATGCACGTCGTGCAAATTCCTAGGGAGAGACCATGGCCCGGCCCAGGGGAAGAGCCACGGGCTCCTGTAGCTGCGTCACAGGATTTGATCACTTCGGCCGAGAGTGCCAGGAGATTTGAGACAGATGTTTTCAGACATGCCGCATGCCTCAGACATTTCCAGGGGTCGGGCTGCAGAGGGTGACTTCATCCGCGGAGAAACGGGGCGAGTCAGCGGCGGAGGACACACGCGTGAACTCCCCGCGACGTGCAGGGCCAGCCCCCGTGCATGACATCTGCCCGTCGGGGCTGGCCCTTTCGTCCGCCGTGCCCCCGGCCCTGCTCTTTGTCTGCCCGGGAATAAAGTGCAGCATTGTGGTTAGTAATCCCACTGCAGTGACTCGACTTCAAATGTGGTTTTGGAGCGCATCCCAGAGTTCTGTTTGCTAAGCTTCCAACTCCTGTTTCAGAGACACCAGGGATTGCAGAGCAGCGAGCACTCAAGGCTTCCCTCTCGCCCGAACCTGTCGGGCTGTGGGCTCTCTCCTTCCCCGGCTCCTCTCTCTTCTGTTTTCTGTGTTTTTCTTTTTCTTTTTTTTTTAAAGCCTCCCCAGGCAAGTTCATGGATACTAAGCTGATGTGTTTGTTGTTCTTTCTCTCTCTGCCTCCGTTCCTAGTGAGTAACCACACTGGCCGCATCAAGGTGGTCTTTACGCCGAGCATCTGTAAAGTGACCTGCACCAAGGGTAACTGTCAGAACAGCTGTGAGAAGGGGAACACCACCACTCTCATTAGTGAGAATGGCCATGCTGCCGACACCCTGACCGCCACGAACTTCCGAGTGGGTGAGTTCCTCCACGGTCCCTGCCTGTCCCTGCTGAATGTTTTTATGAGCCCAGAGCCTCAAGACGCCCCTCCATCCGCGACGGCTCTCCGCTTCCGGGGTGTCTGTCTAGGAGCACAGATATGCCTCTTCTGTGAGGGCTTTGAAATGGCTTTTGGAATAATTTTGAACCTGACCTTGGGTCTCTCTGAGAAGTGGCAGCGAGAACATTTCCCCTCCCTGCCCAGCATTCACGCAGCCATGTGGGGTGGGAGCGCCAAAGGGAATGGGTTTTAGATCGAGACCCCCAAGACTTGGCTGGCACTGATCAGTCTTACATCTGATCGGCCGGTGATGAGTAGACGTTACATTCGATCTGACTCGTGTGATGTACTTTGGAAGGTGGTGATGAGATCTGAATTTCTATTTCATACATAGCTGGATTCTAAAACAAAACTCTAAAAATTGTCAAAACCCTGTATTTTGGTTGTGGAAAGGGCTGCAGACGTGCATTTTTTTTTTTTTTTTTTGCCACGTTTCTGCTCTGGGTCCCCAGGACTGAGTTTTATACATGAGTATAGAACACAAGAAGATATGCTAAGACACGACCGTCAGTGCTCAAAAACTTTAATTTAAATACGAACTAGGCATTTCTGACTGCAGGGATGGCTTCTTGCTTCTTTTTAAGCTTTTGTTTTTTCCTTTTTTGTCAATGGTGAAAGTACTGTGATCCACAGAACGCTGTCATACTGCCATGTGGTCATGCAATCCTGTATTTTTGTCACAGAAAAAAATGTCTTTTATTATTTTTTGACCAATTTTGGTTTGCCATGTATACTCAAATGATCGCAGACACCATGTTACTTTTGGAGTTACTCACAAGAATAACCCAAATGTCAGACAGATAATAACACTGGCTAGATCTGGTCTTTTTATGGAATATTGCTGTTTAGTCTTGGGAGTGTGTGTCTGGGGGGGGGAAGGGCGAAGGGGGTGTCTATTTTCAACTGATTTCCATCAAGACAAAATACACGGGGCACCTTGAACTTATTAGCTCCTGGATCATTCTTCTGCTTTATTGTGACTCCTAATCCGTATGAGGTTGAAGCCGTATTTTTTGATCATGGATGCTTGGAAAAAACATGTGCCCATAGATATGATTTAAAAGGACATTGTGAGTTTCCTGGCCACGAGAGGGGTGCTCTGGGCATATTTTAAAAAGAATTTAGCTGCTAGGTGCCAAATGGCACACCATGTTTGGCAGGGCAGGAAGCCGCGTCTGAGGGGAAGTGTGTGCTGAACTAATGGTTAGGGGGCTGGGTTCTGGTCCCGGTGCTACCTACCAGCTAGTCCCCAGCTGCAGGGCATGCCAGCTAATGTTTCTGGGTCTCGCTTTTTCTCATTCACAAAATAGGTGAGATTAGATTGAATAACTTCTGCCATGTAGCCTATCTCTAAAATCTTATGACTTTTTTTTATCAGCAGTAAGTCATATTATCTTCTGGCTTTCTTGGAGGGGCAGGGACCATCCGCAGTGTCAGGATGGGCACTGTGGCTTGCTGTACCTCCACTCCACCACCGTCAGCAACCACGTCTGCTCCTTCCTCCTGCGTTTATCGTAGATCTTTACAGTAGCACCGACACAATGCTCGAATGGGTGGCAATTTTTTGGCTTGCAGTGTGTGCACTTTGAAATGAAATATTCAAAGGCTTTGAGAAACAGAGGAAGTCGACTTGTTAAAACACGCCGCACACTTTCCTCTCTGGCGCTGGACCAGACGTTTAGGAACAGAGCACACTCAGCCTTGTTCGAAATGTAGAATCGGGCAACGTTATTTTCAAAGGCATGTCGCCCTCGGAACACCACTCTCCACAGAAGGGTTGGAAAGGTAGTTTGATATTTTTTTAAAAAGCGGGCGGGGTGGGGAGGGGCCATAGTAATAAATAGTTTCATGCTGAAAACGACGGGAAATATTTCATTTATGTCCTGAGCTAGTTCTTTCTCCTGTTTATGCTTCAGTTAAGATCTTGGCCAGTTTGAGGGACATGTTTTATAATTTTCTTTACTGAAGAATGATAATTTTGTAGAACTTATAGATGGTGATTCTTTGAAGATATAGACATTTTTAAAAATTCATTTTTAGACATATATCTTTTGGGGACTTTGCTGGCTTAATGTAATTTTATTATTTACAAAAAGGTGGTTTTCTAATTTTTTCTTCTGTCTCTTCATATATTTGTTTGCAATATATTAAATCTTTTGACAGGTAGGATATGTACGGAAAATAGTTCAGTTTGAGGAAAATTGAGAATGTGTCATCGCGTGTTGGCCACTCTCTTTGTCCTCTGACAGTTAAGGACACTCAAAGGTGGAGACTGGCAAATGTTTTCTGGAAAAGGCTAGGTCATATAACGTATGTCTTAGACTTTGTGGGCCATACAATTTCTGTTATGCTGCATTACTGAAACATCCAGTGGGCCCAGCCTAGCTCGTGTGCCATGGTTTGCTGATCCTTGTTCCAAGGAGTCAAAACAATACAAGGAAAACCATGTAGACTTCACAGTTGAGGCAGCCCAATTAAGCCATCCATTTTGATCACCGGAACAACAGAAATAACTTTCAGTATCTGCATTGTGACTTACATTTATTTGAAGGAAGGGGAGCAGATATTAGCGTCACCGTTTTTTCATAAGGAAACTTAGGTACAGGGCATTAAGTGAGCCTGCCTTGGTTACATGGCAGGTCAGTTTGCTGAGACCAGAACACAGGTCTACTGTGTCACCTGTTCACTTAACCTCCCTGGGGTAGCAGGGGGACAAGGTAAAGGACCTCATGGAGTTGGGTCTTATGGAAAGGCCGGATGGTATAACAGAGAAGGCATCTGAGAGTCTCACAGACCTGGGTTTGAATCCTGACTTCATTCCAGCCATCAGGCAGGTCTTGGCACTGTGGTCCCAACTCACCCCATCTGTGATCCCAACTCACCCTGTCCATAAAGTGCAGGTGCTAATAGTTAGGTCAAGGGAGGTCTTTTGTGAGCTCGTGGGATAGCTCCCTCCTTCATTTATGCTTCTTCCCTGTTAGTCTTCGATCTGTGGTGACTGTAAGTCAGGCTGCGCGGGTATGAGAGGCGGCAGGTACTTTTTGCATGACTGTTAAGCTCATCGTCTCTGTGCCTGAGTATTCAGTGGGAGAAATAAGAAGTATAATCTCCCTCTCCTGGGGCTCCAAAAGTGGCATCTCCTAATGGAGATGCTGTCTGAGGTAAGTACTCTGAGATTCTAGAATAAACTCAATTTTTCCAATGGATATTGTTCCGGTAACACAAATATTTACATTAAATGGTGTTGCCTGTAAAGCAAATTTCTAATTATAATGACTTTTTCTTTTGAGTCGAGTTCTCATTCTGTTGCCCAGTGTACAGTGGCATGATCACAGCTCACCGTAACCTCGACCTCCTGGGCTCAGGAGATCCTTCCACCTCAGCCTCCCAAGTATCTGGGACTATAGGCACTCACCAACATGTTGGCTAATTTTTTTTTTTTTTTTTTGGGCCGGGATGAGGTCTTGCTATGTTGCCCAGGCTGGTCTCAAACTCCTGGCCTCAAGCAATCCCTCTGCCTTGGGATTACAGACATGAGCCACTGCGCCTGGCCTATAATGCCCTTTTTTTTTTTTTAGTAGGAGTCTCATTCTATCACCCAGTCTGGAGTGCAGTGGCATGCTCACGGCCACTGTAGCCTCAACCTACTTTGCTCAGGCGATTCTACCACTTCAACCTTCCAAGTAGCTGGAACCACAGGGGTGCACCACCACACCCAGCTACTCTTTTTGATTTCTTGTAGAGACAGGGTCTCGCCAAGTTGCCCAGAGTGATCTTGAACCCCTAGACTCAGGCAGTCCTCTCGTCTCCGCCTTCCAAAGTGCTGGGATGACAGGCATGAGCCACCATACCTGCCCCCCCTGCCCTTTTTTTTTTTTTGCAGCTGTCTGAGTTCTGCCTTCTTGTTCTCCTTGTCTCTGCCTTCTTAAAACACAGAACCAATATCTCTTGTTGGGTGAACCAGCAAGTTCACCGTTGTTGTTTTAATGGATTCTTAACATTTTATAGGGATATAATGAATGTAAACTTCTGGGATTTTTAGGTTGTTTATAAAGTTTCAAGTTCCTCTGACATGGAGAACGTATGAACTCATGTTGTTACGACTAGAATATTTCAAAGGCAAGAACACTGTCACTTGGCATAACTTACTTGCAGAGATGTTGAGAAGCAGACATGCCTGCTAAAATATCACATTTGGCTTATACGATTCTGCTTTCTCTGAGGAGTCACGAAAGACTCATGTTGCATTAGCACCAATTGGATACTTTTAAAAAAGGATTGGATAGGACAGGTGTGATGGCTCACGCCTGTAATCCCAGCACTTTGGAAGGCAGAGTGAGAGAATCGCTTGAGGCCAGGAGTTTGAGGCCAGTGTGGGCAGCATAGCAAAAACCCCATCTCTACAAAATAAAAAATAAAAAAATTAGCCGGACATGGTGGCACAGACCTGTCATTCCATCTGTTTGGGAGGTTGAGGCAAAAAGATTGCTCGAGCCTAGGAGTTTGAGTCTGCGGTAAGCTATGATCATGCCACTGGGCGACAAAAAAGAAAAGAATAAGAGCATTTGATAATTCAAGAAGTATGTTCCTATGCATTATTTTATTTGATGCTTACTGCCCATGAGAGGTAAGTGGTAGTATCCATAATTGGCAGGCATGGGTAGCAAGACTTTAGTGGCCTACGACCACGTATTAAGTGATTGTGTCTAAAACGCAGCAGGAGATTTTCCAAGATAAGCAAATCCTTAAAATTGCCCTCTAAGGGCATGTGGTTTGTGGAGGAGATGAGAATGTGTAAAACACCCCAAGTTAAGAAGCTCCTAGTCAGAGCCCAGAGAGGAGAGCAAACACTTTTCCCCAAGGGAGGATACTTAGAGAGAAAAGGGGTGGCAGCGGCATTGAGCTCACCATGCTATCT